CACACTCTTACTTCATCCTCTCACCCTCAGCCTGCACCACACACTCTTACTTCATCCTCTCACCCTCAGCCTGCACCACACACTCTTACTTCATCCTCTCACCCTCAGCCTGCACCACACACTCTTACTTCATCCTCTCACCCTCAGCCTGCACCACACACTCTTACTTCATCCTCTCACCCTCAGCCTGCACCACACACTCTTACTTCATCCTCTCACCCTCAGTCTGCACCACACACTCTTACTTCATCCTCTCACCCTCAGTCTGCACCACACACTCAGCCTTTATCAACTATGCCTGTACTATCTTTGAATCACCCTTCCTCATCAACCCTCTCTTGTTCTGGTTCTGATCTGTGTTCCTCCTCCTCTTTGGTACTTTCTGCTCCAACTACAGTTTGCACCCCTAATCCTGGTGGCTCTTCAAGAAAAAAAAAAGACCTCGAATGAAAGGTTAGATATTTCCCTGTTTGACTTTGTTAAAACGGTTGCAGCTTTCAATTTTTTTATTTATTTTTTATATTTTTTTTTTAGAGTGCCGAAAACACAGGAGACAAACGGTGTTCTTGTATGAAGAGGTGGTGGACAAGTTAATGTAAGTTAAAAAGTACACATTGTATTTACAGTCTTTTGCATTTTTCTTTCTAAGATATGAAGTGTCGAGCGTGCATTTCCAAATTACAGTTAAAAATAACCACAAAGTGTTGGTTGAACAACAAGTATAGAAAACACTTAAGACATAAGATGAAAAGGTAAGTCAATACGATGAAAAAATACAGCAAAGATGTCCAGAGCATCATTTTGACCAGACATTCAAAGGCACAATCCCAAATACTATGGGCCTTAGAAAACTAACACCTTGGAGAAGGGGCAGTTTTTTGTACAGCTGACATACAGCACAGGCTGAAAGTTTGGACACGCTGAATTTGTTGTCTTTATTTTCATGACCATTAACATTGGGAGATTCTCACTGAAGGCATCAAAACTATGAATGAACACATGTGGAGTCATGTACTTAACCAAGAAAGGTGAATTAGCTGAAATTTTTTTTAATATTCTATTTGCTCCAAAATAGCCACCCTTTGCTCTGATTACTGCTTTGCACACTATTGGCATTCTCTTCATGAGCTTCAAGAGGTAGTCACCTGAAATGGTTTTCCAACAGTCTTGAAGGAGTTCCCAGAGGTGTTTAGCACTTGTTGGCCCCTTTGTAAATGGTCATGAAGATAAAGAAAACACATTGAATGAGAAGGTGTGTCCAAACTTTTGGTCTGTACTGTACACAAACAACCATTCACTCTCGCATTCAATAACTAGGGGCAGCCTACACAGGCAAATCTTACTAAATCAATCTGCTTGACTAACCACTGGCACAGTGGTCTAATTTCTGAAATATTTTCCAAGTTTTACAATATATTATGCAGTGACTGTATTACAGTATTATTTCTACAAAATGCTACATCAGTAGTGGTGTAAATATTGACGCAACTGGGGGAACTGGAACAGGACTCAGATGCCGTTGCGGCCCATTGACTTCGCTCACATAACAGGCATTAAGCAGTGTGACAAAGTGAGAGAGTTGATACAAAACTCATGTCCTTTTTAATTGAGTATATTCTATTATTGCAGCAGTAATGAACAAAATGGGGCTAGCAGCCTAGATGTAGGCCTAACATTAGCATAAATTTAGGTTTCTAAACTGGAGTCAGTCAATGCCTTTGTGCTTGTCTCTCAGCAATGTGACGCAGGGGCATCTCCCAAGAAAAACAACTGCACACAGACACATTAGGGAGTCAATCGCGCAGATGACACCACAGATGTGCAGCTTTTCTCAAGTTTGATTCCTTTGACAATTTTCCTTGATACAAAGAAAGTGCACCCTTTACCAGCTTCAATGATCAGTAAAAACTATTAATAGTCTCGTCTCTCTTTTTTTCAGTATACTAGTGTAGACTGGTCTATTTTATTACTTACGCCAAGATGGTAATGTGATTGTGCTTGCTTGCAACAAATTACTGATCAGATGTTGGGATCAATGGTATTAGGAATGACTGAACATCCTCTTACATCAGTTGAAAAACAGACACTTGTCCTAAAATATCTGCATATGAGCGGAAAAATCCAAAACTAATGAATGTCTTTATATTTTGTTTTTTACAGAAGTCCTTATTAACTTTGTAAAACGCACTGGGGTTGATGTATGAGCTCCACTGAGTAATTGTTATTCCCAAATAACTGTGTTTCAGGGAAAAAATGAAGTCAAAATCAGATGGGCACCATGCACAACATGGTAAATTCAGTAGAAGCAATGTCTGGATATATTTAAAATTGTTGAAATCAAACATAATTTTAACCTTTTTTTTTTCTTTTTCCTCCTAGTGGCAAACAGTGGGATGATACCTGGGAGCCAGCTGAACAGTATATGAATGTATTGTGGGCAGAGGTGGACAGTATTCTGTTTTTCTACAAATGTTTGTAAAACTTAAAAAAAGTGAATGTGTATGATGTGTGAGCCTTGTTATTTTTATAAGGTGGAATGTAAGTCAAGCATATTAAAAATTTTCATTCAAATAATGTCATTTTGGACAGTATGGCGGTTAATTTGGGTTTTATACACTAAGATTTATTGACGTTTAAATATATTAATATATGTGTGTGTGTATATCTACATATATACACACACAGCTGTCTGTAAGCATTTATAATTCATTTACAAAATACAAAGGTCTTTACACACATACACAGACAAAAAACAGGGTTGCTTTTGGGACTAATGTACAAGGCAGGTGAGTGTTTTTTTCCAGGTGTGGATATGAATCCAACCTGTGATTTACATTCAGCATCTGATGGTCCATTACACCCTTCAAACAATACAGCAGAAACTGGTTAGGAAACAAAAAATGCAGTTTCTCATCAATTCTAACTCAGCATCAACTAAAACATAATGTATCCACAACACAGGCATCATCTCAACTACAAGATTCATATTGTTAACCTGTTATAACAAAACTCCTTCATGCTCTGCATGTGGTAACTTTGAGTTTGAGCTTTAGCTTAGAGTAGGTAATATCCAGTGGGGTGTGAAAGTTTTGGCAGTCTAATTAATCATCTTGAGTTATCTTTATAAATCTATGGTTGTTATGAAAAGGGAGTTTTCCTCTCCACTGTCGCTGCATGCTTGCTTAGTATGAGGATTGCTGTATAGTCACTGACACTGTCAGTGACTTGATGCAATTTGCTGGGTTCCTTATATAGGAAACATTATTTCTGATTGGCTTAATGAACTGTGAATTGGAATGTTATGTGAAGTGCCTTGAGACGACTCTTGTCGTGATTTGGCGCTATATAAATAAACTTGAATTGAATTATGAAAAAAAATTACATCGGTTATATATATATATACATATATCATATAGGAGACAGTCATATTTAAGATATTATGTGAGGTTTACAGGATTAACAGAAAGCATGCAGTAACTTTTTAAACTAAATTAGGCAGCTACATTAATTTTGGCACTGTTGTCATTTTATATATTACAGAATCTTTAGAAATAATTAGTGAAGTTCAGCATTGGTTTGGTAAGCTCAGTGACCCTTGACCTCCATACACAAGTGAATCTAGTTATGAGAGAGTATTTAAGGGGCCAATTATAAGTTTCCCTCTGAATATTGTCTGAAGAGCAGCAACATGGGGTTACCTACAACATCATCTTGCTGCAGATGGAGTCTGCATCGTTCAACTCTTTGGTACAGTTTACACAAGGAGATGCTGTATGTGAGAGTGATGAAGAGGAAGCCTTTTGTCCACCCACAGCACAAATGGCTGCATCGGGTATGCTTAAGCACATTTGGACAATTCAGCTCTGGGTAAATTACAGACATTGGACCACCATCTCAGGACAGTCCTTCCAGAACACTAATATATGTGTATGAATGACATATGTTAAAATGCCAAAAAAAATACTTCAGCAAGCAGATGTCTGAAAATCAAACGAAGTCGAGGGAATCCAATTTTTTGTCCTGAAAATGTGAACTTCTGAACTGCTAAGTGTACAGTTTTGCTTGAGGGCTCTATGGAAAGGTCTCGCTGAGCGGAGTACTACAGTCTAAATATTGTCTCTACGATTTTACACTGCAAGGCTGGAGTGCGCTAAAAACCTTTTTTTGCAACTTGTTCAGCCCCATAACTCTGCCCCTGAAAGGCGTGCAGGGATGATACATCAATAGAAAGCTGTCACTAAGATGTATAATATATGTGAGCCTCCTGTAGGTAGTGTTCTTACTTAGCTATGAACTCAATTTTCTTTTCTTTTTTTCAGTTGCTAGAAAAAAAATCCAAAAGTGCCCAAAATAGGCAGATACAATTGTGTGTCAGCACTGTGCTGTAGGGTAGGAGTTAGTTTTGATGACAGTATCAAGTGGCCTATCAAGCTTGAGCGAGTTGTTGTTTTCCAGGTGCACATTGGTATATATCATTTCAGTTGTTAATGTGATTGGCTAAAGACAATTTACTAGCCCAATCAGCGTATTAGTAATTTTTTTGTTCTGTGGGAGGAAGCCAGAGCACCTGGAGGGAACCCACACTTGCATTGAGAGCCAAATTTTACTGTTCCAAATTTTGGCCTTGATTTGTTTTTGCCCATTTTGTTTGACTGTGAAATCCCCTCTGATATTCTGAAAGCCTACAGGGTTCTTCAGGGAGTATATTTTATAGTTAAATGTTTCTTTTGGCAGAGCGCATTTTCCCTCAGCCATCTTCCAAACTAGGGACTTTTCCATCCACATTATGAATCTAAATGCAGTTTTGAAAGTCATATAAAGGTGTGGCAAAGATGTTTAGTTTACAGTGTTTGGTAATTAAACTGGGGGCTTTGCCACTCCAACATTTAGTAGCTCACACAATCAAAATGCATTTGCCATAATCTTTTCTAAAACCCTTACACACTAATAATATTATTTGAAATATCCACAATTAAAAATTGGAAATGAAAAAACACAAGTAGAAATTATATAAATGTTTATTGCAGAACATCTTATTTAGCAGGCATTGTGTTAAAGTGCAACTTCATTTTAAATGTACAGTATTGTTCAAAATAAACGCAATGTGACTAAAAAAATTAAGCCAAAAAATCAAAATCATAGTTTAATTTACATTTTTCTTTCCGATTACATAATGACAGTCCATGTTATATCCTTAATCCCAGCATTAAGTTACATAAAATGGAAGAGAAGCTAAAATGTAAGCTGTACATAAAAAAAAATTTGTTTCTGCACTTGTCATTACAAACTCAAATTAGTACTGTATAACCACATTTCTCAATGTGAATTTGCTTTCTCGTGAATCTGCAGGTTTAAGGGAGCCAAATTGAAGACTTTTTAACCCTTTGATGCATGAATTATGAAATCTTCAACCATGATTTTTTAAACAATTTTTTTCATTCGTCTTTAGGTGTGAATGAAACAAATTTCAACAAATATTTTTTGTAACATTTTGTTAATTTACAAATAATTTATTACATGTCCACCTCAGTGGACAGCGTGCATTCTGAACATGAAATATGTTGGCTTGGCTTACTGAAGTCCAAATGGAGGGGCTCACATGCAATAAAGTCTTCAACAGCTGTGCTTAATAGCAAAAATAAATAAATAACAATTTTGAGTACCTGTCCACTGTAGTGACCATTATGCATCAAAGGGTTAAGACCGTTTTAAGGACCGGCGGATACCCTGTATCAGCTAAAAACACTTTCAGAGAAACGCTTCACATTTGCGTAACTTTGTCGGCCAACTTCTGGGTGCAATACAAGTAGGCTGTGCTTTTATAACATACGCATTTTGCGATCTCATAACATTTCATCAGACATGTCAGAGTCACTGTCAGAGTTATCTGAAAAGCTTTGGAGGATGTTGCTCGTCTCTGCTTGCGTGAAAACTTTTAAGTAGCAGCTCCTTGCATGTGCCACAGCTTTTCTGGTGTTCTGCCTTTTCCTAAGAAGTAGGCTTTGAAGACCTTTTAACACCTCATCTGGTAGGCCCCACAGTGAAGTAGCAGTACCTGGCAAAAAAAAGCATATTGGTAACCCTGTCATCAGTAATACCCATTTTCAGATTGGACTTAAGAACATACTTTTGAGAGCAGCATTTGAAACTTCCTCAGAAAGCTCCTTCAGGGAATCCATTTGACGCAGAAGGTACTTCCAGTGTTGGTTCATCTCTGCCATGAGAATCTTCTTCTCCTCTTGCAGTCTTTTCACTGCCATGACAAGGTCAAAGGCTCTTCTTTTTGTCCTGAGATCTACGGAGCCTGCATTCAGTTAAAAGATACAAATTAAAATAATTAGGAACAAAAACAACTGAACTGAAATGTGTTTGTGCACAACATGCTCCTTGAAAATAGATTACCAACAGTTTTGTAAAGGAAGGTTTAAGGCACATCACCCAGTACTATTATTTGAAATCACTGGAAAAATATAGTTAAACAATATGGCACTCCTTAGCCTGACTGACTAGCAAACCTTTACGACCTGAAATCCTCTTTAAATGTAATTTAAAACCTCAGAAAAAATGTATGTATAGGATTTTGAATAAAGAAATGTTGGATCTCAGAAAAATATTATACATATGTACTCAGTACTTGTCTGGGGCACCACTTGCATGACTTACTGACTCAAAGCAGCGTGGCATGAATGCTATCAGCCTGTGTTATTGCTGAGGTGTTATGGAGGACCAAGAAACATTTATAACAGCCTTCAGTTGTTCTGAATCATTGGCTCTCATGCCTCTCATTTTTCTCTTAGGGCTAACCCATAGATTCTCTAAGGTCAAGTTATAGTCCCATTAGTTGTCACACACACTGATGTGTGTGCGAAATTTGTTCTCTGCATTTGACACATCCCCTGGGAGAGCGGTGAGCTGCAGACACAGCCATGCTCAGGAACTATTTGGTGGTTTAACCCCCAATCAAACCCCTTAATGCTGAGTGTCAAGCTGGGAGGCGTTGGGGTTCAGGTCACGCTAGTTTGCTGGACAATGAAGTCAGCATCTCCATAAAGCTGGTCTGCAAAAGGAAGAATGAAGTGCTCCAAAATTTTCTGGTGGAAGACTGCATTGACTTTGGACTTAAATCACAATGGACAAACACCAGCAGATGACATGGTTCCCAAAATCATTACAGACTGTGGATACTTCCCTCAGCACTTCAAGAATCTGCAATTCTTCCAGACTCAGGGAACTTGTCTTCCAAATGAGATGCTAAATTGTCTCATCAGAAAGTAGGATTTTGGAACACTGTTGACATTGTTGTTCAAGAGCAACTTAACAAAAGGAATAGAACATATGAGGCACATGTCCAGCATTTGTCTGTGTGTGGTGGCTCTTGATGCACCAACTCTAGCCTCAGTCCAGTTCTTGTGAAGGTCCTCATCAACTTTCCAATGGCCTTTCCAGACAACTCTCTCCAGGGTTTCAATGTATCTGCTTTGATTCATAACTGGCCTAAAATCAAAATGAATTTGCAATGACCTTTGGAGGCTTTCACTACTTATGCAGGGATTCAATGATGATTTTCTTCAAAATTGCCTGATTGTGATTCCTACTGAAACAGACTGAGAGCCCATTTCATGGCTAAGGAATCTTTAGCAGGTGTTTTTGGATAATAAGCTGATTTGAGCAGTTTTCACAGCTGTTTTTGGAGATGCACAAGTACGTACCACTTTGAAACTCTTGCCATGGCCATGCTGTATCTTCAGACAGTATCGTTTCTATGCACAGGCACTCATTGCTTGGAACCATTTTGTTCTATTCGTCGACCACTGACGTCAGGAATCTTTTCTCCTCTCTGATTTTGTTGCGACCCCTGGCTCGGCCTTTACTGCCATCTGTGTCTTTGTACAGACGTTGTGAACGCCTTTTGATGCTTGCCACAAGCCCCTCAATCTTACTTCCAAGATTAACTGCAGCTTCATCAGTCTTGTTGGATGTCTCTGTATAAAAAGCATGGAAGTTGGTAACTGCACACTGACATACCTATGTATGTAAAAAAATATATAGTGCACCATGCATTATAATTATTAGGTAATTATAATATTATATCTACCTTCTGCCCACTCCTTCACATCAGTTACCCACTCCTCCAACTGCTTGTCAGTTACACCCCACTCAGATTTTTGGGACTCCAGTGTTTCAAGCTGACTCTTGAGAGTTCTTGGGTCTACAAGTAAAAACTGATATTGAGAGTTCTTGGGTCTACAAGTAAAAACTGATATTGAATTCAACATACATAAACTATTCATAGAGGACAAATTGATGCCATTATTACTTTCAAATATCTGTGAGACAGGAAGACAGCCAAATTGGAGGTCTTTTGATGATTCCAGCGCATGGCCATTAGTGTCAGCATGTCTGAACGTCCTGCAACAGAAAGGGAGGCTGCTATCATTTTCAATACAATGCAGTATACAAAACACAGTTTTGTGTAGACCAAATAAACCCGACAGATTAGAATTTGCCTTACAAATTATTTTGAAAAAGACAGCCCAGTTTTGAAATTGCCTTCTATGTATTTGTATGTACCAGTCTTTAAGAATCATAGAGAGAAGTATGAAGAAGGTTTGGAAAAGCCCTGGATCTAAAGCACAACATACATGTGAAACATGATGGAGGCAGTGATTACATGGGCATGCGTTGCCTCCAGTGGTACTGGAAGCCCTGTTGCAACCCGAACAGGCCTAGGAAACCCTGATGGGATGAACACAGCAAATAGATTGGGAGGGAAAGAACCAGAAGGCTCAAAACAATAATAAAACCTTTTTGTAATAAAAACGTTTATTACAAAATGTGTCCCAACCAAGATTAAAAACTCTCTAGTTGGGAGAAGACTTACCTAAGGTAAACAATGAAAAATAGAATAAAATAAAAACTAAGCAACTCAAAAAATATTCTTAACTACTCTCAATTAAACTAAACTGTCTTACCCAGGGTCAGTAGTTCATAAGGGAGAGACTAAATAACACAGAGTCTAAACCAAACATTTGCAACTCAAATCCTCAAAAAAGGCTTAAGACTGAGATAAGTAACAAAATGATTTAGGATCATTAACACTGAGTCAATCTCCAACTGCAGCAATATCCCAATCCAAGTTTCTCTCAGGGCCTTCTGTCTTAGAGCAACCTCCTGCTATCTGGTTCAGGTAACTCTTCTTGTTTACCTCTCAAAATCTTCCTTAGAGCTCTCTTGCTACATTTCTAGCCCCTCTGCTTTATCTCTATGCCTGTTTCTCCTCATTTGGCTACAAAAAAACCTGTCCTGAATAGGCTGCGGCTAAAGGGAGTTCAGGGAATGTCGCTCTTCATGGTGCTGAATGGAAGAACCCTAGCAGGTACGGTGTAGTGGAGTTGTCCAAGGTCATGAACTGGAGGCAGACTGGTGGTAAAACCAGGGGCCGTAGCAAGCAGTAGAGTATTTTTGGTCATTTAACAAAAGACACACATTAAGTCACATATGTCAGAGTCAAGGCCCGCGGGCCGGATGCGGCCCGCGGAGCATTTTTATGTGACCCGCGAGATAAATATCAAAAATATATTAAAACTGGCCCGCTGGCCAATTTTACCGCAAAGACTTCAACTCCCATGATGCTTTGCGGCGTCAGCGCGGAGCCGAAGCGCCCCCTCCTTTGTGTTTTTTCTAGCGTCTTCTGCCGGGTGTCTGCAGCTCCGCTGTCTTGGACAAACTAATCACTCCTCTCACTCAGCGCCGAGTTCGCTCAGCTATTTTCTGACGTTGAAGCCCAGAAACGGAGATTTTAATCGCTCAGTAATGTGTTCACGACTGAAAGAGAAATTTTTCCAACTAACATCCAGACAGAGCTGATATAACTCCAGCGAACAGCGACATGCTCAAACCAGCTGCTGTAGTTGTGTTTCCTCCCCGACACACAACAACGTGGTCAAGTTGCTCAGACATGTTCATCAGCACAAACCTATGTGAGCTCCTGTTGTCATCTAATGTTGTCATTATCATGATGAAGATGAACAAAACAACAGGAGCCTCCTCCTCAGCTCAGATCAACCCCATGATGCAGGTATCTGGCTGGAACAGGTGAGCATCACGGTAAACCAGTGGAGCAAACTGAGCTTTAAATATGCTGGTTTTATGCTCTTTTTCTGCTCCAAAGCATGAAAGTTAACAGGTGAGATGTTGCATTTTCATTTAAGATAAATAATACTTTTATTTTGTTGTTGGAACGTGAGAAAAGATTTAGCCTACAGTAAAACAGGAAGTGGAAAGGCTGCAGATAGATGAATAGAATAGAAAATCCCTTTATTGTTCCTCAGTGGGGAAAGCTGTCACAGCAGCGATGACACTTATTACAGGAGAAAAAAAGGAGAATAAAAAATAAGAATAATGAATAAACAAGAAAACATAAATCCTGAATAGATTTATAAAATGCTGAATATACCACAAGTAATGACTACCACTGATGCCTTTTATTTAAAACTGACTTGCTCGTGTGTAATTTGGTTATTCCACATTCAGTGTTAATGCAGAAATATGTTTGTTTCCAAATTTAAAGGTTCAAAATTGCATATATGTTGATAAAGAAAATGTGCAAATTTGCCGTCACTTTTTAAAAAAATATTAAGTTTGGCCCTCGACTCCGTCCCAGAGTTTCATTTCGGCCCCGTGTGAGTTTGAGTCTGACACCCCTGCATTTAGTGAACATGTAAATGTAGGTTCGGGAGCAGGACCACGACTCAACTACATCTCATAAACACCTCTACTTCAAGGTTTACCACATCTCAGCCACATTTGCTATCTTCACAAACATCTCCAGCTGTTTGTCTGTGTTCTCTCGACCACCCTCCCTTCAGGGTTATGTTTTTGTCTTCCAGTCTCCAGCTGCTCTCAAGTAGACTGTAGTAGGGGGGTCTCCAGTCAGCCGGCTATGCTATTCAGATACGGAACCCCCATCCTGAGTCTGCTCATAGCCATCACCTTCCACACCTTCATCCATCACCACGTGTTTTTATAAAGAACATTTCAGGCACTTCATGCGTGGTCCTTGCTAGTGAAATACTATATATTTTTATAGTAGATCTACAGTATCTCACAAAAGTGAGTACACCACTTACATTTTGGTTAGACAAGGCACACTGGACAGCAAATTTACACAAGTTGTACACCGACTAATTGCATGTTGTCATATGTTCTGATATTTCCCATAAACAGTTAAAATGACATATTTACAAAAACGTGAGAGGTGTACTCACTTTTGTGAGATACTGTAAGAATATTAAGAGAGAGATGCACTAACCAGCCTTTTCAGTCCTGATATCGATATTTGGGCTTTTTGGATCAGTTGATACCTGATATCCACCAATACTAATGCAAACACTAAAACATTGTTATATAACACATAATAAACCTCTAACATGATATAACTTGGGACAGAAAATAACTCATAATGTGGAAATAATTTGTCAGTGGCAGTGTAAAAAGTTATGTAGTTCGCCACATTATTGCTCTGCTCATTATTTGGATAAAGTGCAGTAAATAATATCATATCCGGTATCAGCCATGTTTACCTCTCCACCAATCCAGCTACAAAGCCTGGATCGGCAACAACATCCAATACAGTACTGGTATCGGTGCATCCCTAATTAGAAATACCGTGTTTTCATACCTGCTTTTGACATATGCTTCGTGGTGACTGCAATGCGAGAGAGGAAGGCATTGACCTGCTCCACTTCTTCACCCAGAGTTAACCCCGCCCCTTCCTGATATGCTCCACTCCATTTCACCTGTTTCAAAAAGAAACTATGTAGAAACTTTTCACCTCTGACAATGATTTTTACAAACACACAGTATAATCATTTGACTCACTTCACATTGGAAGTTATGGGCTTTGGCATGAAACACAGAGAGGAATGGCTTCATATCAAGAAGAGGCTGTAGCTCTGGGCAGCTTTTGGCCAGCCTCTGGAGGTAAGGCCAATATTTGCAGGTCACATCCATGCAAAAAAACCTGCTGTTGGGCAGCTTTTGTTGCAAGTACAGGGGATACGCAAACATTTCTCTCCTGTACATATTACGGGGCCGCAGGAGCACTCCAGGCTGGCACACTGCAAGCTCAAGGCCCTCCTCATTAAGCTTGCTGGTAGACCTTAAGGAGGTTTCTCTGGCCGCCTGCCATTGACCACCACATTTACCTTTCCCAGACACCTAAATTTAACAGGATGAAAATATTAGAGCCTACCTCTACGTTACGATATTTTACATTTATACAGTAATTACAGTCCCATCTTACATGTTTTGCCTTGCTTTGAATGTGGTCCACAAATTGTGTAACGTCCTCATCGTCAGCAATAAAGACACCCTCAAAGATGGCCTTTTCCTCACATCTGTAAAAAGCAGAAATGTAAATCTATAATTAACTAAGACCTGTGATTTTTAATGTGTTTGATCTTTATGCTGACATTTTATTGTACCTGGCAGCATTATTAAAACGATAATGTTTGCGGTTTCCATCAACAGAGACCGCAAACATCTCTGGGCTGCAGGCAGGACAGGCAAAGGGCTCTGATTTGCAGTGGCTGTCAACTTCATATCTCACAGCCTCCCACTCAAACAAACTTCTCATTAAGCTGTCTGCTGAGATCTTTCCAGTCTATTAAAAACATTTAAGAAAACATAAAAGAACTCTATTTCATACACTGTTGAGATCATTAAAAATATATATACTCACACGACCAAAGCGAACGGTTCTTAGATCCAGCATTCTTATAAATGCCTGACAAGACAATCCGGGCGCTACCATTTTCATTTCTTCAAATGTGAAGAAAATATCACATGCAAAGATTGTTTCATAGTGCATGGTAGCTGGCCAGAAGTCATTTTTTATCAGGTCTTCAATCAAAGCAGTCCATGTGGCATTGCACATACCACAGGTCAGCTTTGGGATATTGAGGTCATGACGTCCTTTAAGAAAACATAAATGCAACATGAATTTCACATATTTTCTATTGTCAGATCACAAACACAATAGAAAAATATTTTGATGCACAACAATATACTTGTACCGTTCATAGTGATCACAGCCACAACCTTTCCGGCACTGAGCTTCAAGTACTCAGCTGGACAGCTGCAGATTTTGGAAGGGACCTCTAGAGGTACAACTCGATCTAGAAAAAATAAGTTCATGTTATATATGTATATACTAACAAACTGTGTGCACAATAACAGCATGTATGCTCAAAAAGAACTCACCACAATGACAAAGAGCTTCATTTATAATAACTTTGGTTGGGGGCAATGGCTCAAAGAATCCTCCTATAGTGGCCTCTCTATTGTGGAATGGATGTTGGCTGTGTGCATTTAAATCACATTCTCCACAGAGGAACGGCCGTGGACGACAATCCCGACACCGGATAGCAGCTGCATTGCTTTGACACTCTTGGCATAAGTTGGGTTCCACTTTCTCCTTTGATATCAGGGTATTGACTAAATAAGGCCTCACAGATCTCCAGTTTTCCAGCTCTCTCATTTTCCTTAAGCCCCAGTTTGCTGATGTCACAGTGGGAACCACTGGGGATACTTCTTCAGTCTCAACATCAGCAAATGAATGCTGGAGGTCCCGCATGAACTCGTCTGATGAAATTAGAGAACAAATGATGTTCACTGTTCAGATAATGTTTAAAATTGATCTGATCTTATACATATACTAATACACAAATCAAACATATGAAATAACACTAGTGGATGAAGAAAGAAAAACATACCACATGTCTCAGGAGCAAAGACAACATCAGGAGCTGAGACAGATGCTGAGACGGGAGCTGAGACCGTGTCAATCAACAGACTGTGACCAGCTGTTATCAAAATAAAAATACTAATGATACTCATATAATGAAACTAAACTTTTCTGAACATTACCAGCACATTATTGTGATCAATAAAATTATATAGTATAACATAATACAGTTGTGGGCACTGTGTGTGTGTGTGTGTGTGTGTGTGTGTGTGTGTGTGTGTGTGTGTGTGTGTGTGTGTGTGTGTAAATATAGGTTGACAAAAAAAATTGTTTGCAAAGCATTGTTATAAGCCTTTGGATTGGGTTAGGTTGAGTTTAGTTATATTTAACCCTTCCACTGTCTTCATGGGTGACCCTGCCAGGAAAGTTGACCATTGAGCAGGATTGATGGTTTATCATCAGCATGTCGTATTTATCAGCACTACCTCACCCCTGCCACGTGGACCTCAAGGGATAAACCATCAATCCTGCTCAATGGTCAACTTTCCTGGCGGGGTCACCCATGAAGACAGTGGAAGGGTTAAGGAAAGAACAATGCTCACCCTGAGTGCACTGGTTCCTTAGTGCCCGTGGTCTCCTGTGGATGAGGTTTCCATCACTGTTTCTCTTCTTCCACCTCTCTGTTGGCATCGGTGCTGCAATTGGTACTGCAGTTTTCTCATTTTGCAGCTGACTGAGGAAGTCATCGGCGTCTTTTAGGTCCTCAGTGACCTCACCCTCAACGCTCTGCAGTAAATCCTGCAGCTCACTCATTGTTAATGAGGAATACTACACACACACACACACACACACACACACACACACACACACACACACACACACACACACACACAGGCTATATTTCCCACACAGACAGAACCATTATTACAGTAAACAAACTAAACAGTCAGACACAGAAGACGAAACCAAAGGAAAACAAGTGTGACAAACAGAAGACAAATTACGAAAAATAGACGTGGCTCTAAAAAGTGCCTTTGTGTTGATGAAAAGTTGGGGTTCAGATAGATCAAAATGACAGCAGCTGTTGAAAGAGAAAACAAATGTCGGTTGCAGATCAAAGTCTGACACGGTAAAAGTTTACATGTTAGCTTAGTTTACATGTTATCTGGATTTTCTTTAAATACCTTATTCTTAAAATGTGATTGAAAATTATACACGCGTATTTATAAAGTGAACATATAATGATGAGAAAGGCATTTTAAAGTGTTTTTGTGTAATCAATCATAACGGATTAGAAAATGTTCTACTTACCGAAAGGAGAGTAAACGGAAAGACCGGAAGACCAGCTTACGCGGGACCTGTCGCATTCTATCACGTGATATAATCACGTTTGTAAATAATTGTGTATTTAGATTGAAAATTTATTTAGATGAAAAATAATTATATTATATGTAGCGCTATATTACAACAGTCAATAAATAAATTGTTTTGGTTAAAAAAGGAGCCTAAGTCACGCCCATCTACTTCCGGACCATGGGTGCCCGGAAAAACGAAAACAAAAATTGTGAACTACTATTGCAATCACTTTAAAATGTATTACTGTACTGTAACAACTATTTGAGATTTAAAATTTAACAACCGAGTGGGTTTCAGAACTTTCAGAAACAATGAAACTCGTTTCTTGACGTAAAACCAGCTTATTACTACTAAGTGCTTCTTCTCTGCCCGCAGCCGAGCATTGTGGGAAACGCAGTTTGTTATGCTTGCCATACCGCAACAAATAAGTTTATAAACACGGCTTATACTGACAAATAAATTAAAATTGTTGTCTCGAGCAGTTAAATAAACATGCCGGTGTTTTATAACTATTGTAAATAAATCGATTCTCATAGATGACGTAGATGACTCGTAGTCACGTTCAGAAGTCCACACAATTTATATAAATGTAAGCATAAGCTGCCGCAAAGTCCGTGTTTAAATGTGGCTCCACAGATGTCAGAAAAATACTCAAAGTTATCCAAACGATAGGGAAATATGCGTGTTCAGTGCAGCGCAAGAGAACATCCAAACTCGTCACTGTGTCGCTGCACTGGGATTTGCATTAGAATCAACGGAGACTCCTTTTTGTCACATATATACGAAAAAGGGCACTTTCTGCGTTGGTATCTGATGCAGAAAGTGAGTGACCAAGCGTTTGTTTCCGGCGCTTAGGGTGTGAGAACGTGTTGCAGGATGAGGTTCAGTCATGTATCCATTCTCCTCCCATTCAATCTCTGGTATCGGTATACCCTGGAAAAAGAAAGTGTGTATGAGCATTGTGCATAATGAATCTCAAGAAAACACATTTAATAAAGCCCTATCATGACCTTTTAACAATTACTTAACATCAATGATGTCAGGCAGAACCTAGCATCTCCATTATTTAATAAATGTTTTTTTTTAATTAATGGGCTACTTTTATGTTAAAACAGCAGTGAGAATATCACATCTGGAAGGTCTAATGCCTTGCATTTTGAACTTGCAGATGTGTCATGACTTTGTAATGTCATGACATTATAGTTGACAGTGTGCACTTCAGTAGAGGTGCACACAAACAGAACTGTAATTTCAATAGCCATTTTGTCTTGAAGCATAGTGCAGAGGTAGATTATCAAAGTGTTGAACATTTGATTTTTAGTTAAGGATCAACTTGACATGTGATCAGTCATTTTAACAGAACATACATTTGCCCCTGGATCAGAAACAGGATTCAGAGCCTGACCCAGATGCCACAGCTGATTTGGTGTCATGTTTTCCTCTGTCCTGATTGGATGGTTGTCCCACGCATCTCTAAAGACATCCAGGCTGGCCTGGATAGGAGACAAGAAAATATAGTGGCAACAAAACAGGTGAAGGATGTTACTGATGTCGAGCAAGTCTTGGTCTTCCAGAGAGTGCAGGATGTTGTAATATAAACCAGTAACACTCATGAAGACATCACGCCAGAGGGGCTCAATCCTGGATTTGGAGGGGGATTAAATAAAAGAAAATTATAATATACACACACATTTACATGTCCATACATCCGTTTTCAACTTGAGTTATCTTTTGAATGGTCGCAGGGGGACTGGTGCCTATCTCCAGCAGTCACAGTGTGAGACGAAGGGTACACCCTGGGCAGGTCAACAGGCACAGGCGCGCGCGCGCACACACACACACACACACACACACACAAAGCTTCCAAATTAGGTTAAACTCACCGTTGATTGTGTACACTTTTTCCTGCAATGAAGCTGTTGGTGTCAGTTCCACGAACTGAGAACATTAATTCTGCAACACCTACATTTTCTCTGCCATGATCTCCTCTCACCCAGAAAAAAAAAAACACATTAGAATCTTGCTTCAAACATTTTTAATGCACATCTATAACAATCTACATCAATTTCAGTTTCACAGAAATTTCCTTATGTACCTTGCTACTAAGTGAGTAAACATTGTGGCATTATTAACCCTCTGCTGGGGAATTTTTTTTTTGAAAGAGGAAAATGTTCACACCCCCCCCCCCCCCCCCCCCACACCCCCCCCCCCCCACACCCCCCAATAAATTTCACTATATGACCTCAAATGGCATGTTGTCTTTGGTCAATAACACACTTTAGGCAAAAGCAGATTTGTAACAGGGTAACAAAGGGTAAAGTTGGGAATAACATGAATACCTCAGAGGAAAGCCATGCTCATTCACAGCTTCACTGAAGAAGGCAAGGTGGGTGTCTGCCCGGTTGTTGTCAGCTACCTTCAGGTACATGATCTATGTCATTCAAGCACAAACACTCTCATATGACACACTTTTATAGGGGCCAAAACAATCAATTACCAAATGAAAGGTACAACAGCCATACAATAACATGTTAGATAATTAAATAAGTTAAGATCTGATAAACTGTATTGTTTGTGTCAAATCTCACAGGAGTGATAGATGCATACTTTACAGAAGACCACTGCACTATACTGTTTTCATTTCTCTCCCTCCAGCTTGTTTTGAATTTCAGACCACCCGCAATGTGTGTTACTCCCACATTCTCCCGTGACACTCAGAATTATTACCCACAATATAATTAAGATGCACTGATTTTATGTATTCACTCATCGTGCAGGAGAAAACATGGCATGACAGACTATTATTGGAGATTCATAGGATTGTGTTTCATATTCTTCCATTTAAAAATCTATATGGAGGAGTAAAGGCTAATGATTATTACAAGCCCTTACATTAACTGACTTTACAAATATGCCAAAAAAAAAGTGTATATTTTGGGATTTCTGAAAATCCCTTTGGTTTTTAGCCAACTGTTCTAACTGCCCGCTCCTGCTGGGACCCAATCCTATGCAGCCCTCTACTTCAAAATATAAGTTGTTAAAGGTATAAAACATATCTATGAAACAGAAGATAGCCAGAAAACACATGTGCAGCTGTTTGGTCCTTGACAATGAAAACACCTACCTTGCTTGAATAGCCATTGATAGGTAATTTAATGTTATCCCGCTATTACCTTAAAGGACGACACACCCAGAGAGAGAGAGAGAGAGTAAATTGATTATTTGTAATGTCCATGTGTGTGGCTCAACCAGCCCCCACTCTGCTCCAGCCTCAAAGCTTTCTCCTCACCTGCTCTGTATACCTGCATTCTCCAATTATCTGTTAGATAATATTTAACCTCCATAACCCTGGAACCTGAAATAAACACTCGACAACAAGGGAAGACATTTTACCCTGAGTCTCCAAAATCAAGGAGAGTTCATGCAGGAATGGCCTTCTCCAAGGCTTCTTCCCACATCACTCCCGTGTGCTCCCAGTTCGTCAGGGGCTTTATTCACAATGGATGGGGGAGAAGGCAGGCCTTCTCAGGTTACAGAGGTACAGTTTTCAGTTGAAAACCCACAATCAACATCCTTGCTCAACCTTTCATGAACAACAACAGTTGGCAAAAACAGAGATTCATGATGTGTTTATAATACAACCTGGGCATCTTTTAGGCCTCAAAAAGGTACAATTATAAAAATACCCAACATTCCCTCCTGATGTGACTTTTTGAGCAAGAAAAGATTCAACCAATAAAACACATTAACATGAAATTAGGACACACCTTACCAACCTGGAATTTGAAATGACCAATTAATCAATCGGATTTTAGTTCAACATTAAACCAGACATCAAACCCAATTCATCCTGTATTTCTAGCTTTATTAATTTATCCCCCCTGAATGCTACCTTTGAGTAATAACAATAAAAATAAAATACATTATTCTGTCAACAAAACCCAGAGCAAGAGTTAAGACCTGGAATTAGGAATGAATAAACTAGATACCAAAACCTACATAATAATCTTGAGTTCCTAGCTTTATTGAGGTAACCCACATCATTTGTCATCAAACACTTGTGGATCTTCTGCTCCACATCCGTCGTTACCTCCTGTGCTGCAATCGATCGCTTGTAGGACTGAACAGGTGTCACAGGTTCTGTATTTTTCGTGGTTGGCTGACCTGCGGTTCTGGTTCCCTCCTGAACTTGGTGTTTGACCTCTGCACCTCAGCTCCAGTTCAGGTGTGATATCTCGGTCACACTGTGCTCTCAGCTTTGCGTCGTCCTGTTGATGTGTCGACGCAGGATGGAGCTGGGTCACTTCCTGAGAGAGCTGACTGGCCCACAGGGTTTTGTGGTTTTACATCAGCTAACAGGTTGGTACCGGTTTGGGCTAACGGCTTGTGGTTTAACATTAGCTCAGCCGTGTTCTTTGTGCCTCCTCCATCTGGGATTGCAGGTTAGCAGCTCAGTCATTGGCCCCTCCATCTTGGTCTGCAGGTTTCCACCTCCTTCTGAACACACCTACAAGTCTCAAAACCACAGCAGGGTGCCACAGACAGACCAATTTGCATCAACTTCCACAGCTGAACTCAGATCCTCTGAAGTCTTTTCATCGACACTTTCCTCCTGAGAATGAGCCATTCCTGCATTCGGAGAGTAGCAGGGCATGACATAGCAACCATCTTGTGTTGGAATCACAATACCTTCCTGGTTGTTGAGGGTCAATGGGGCACAAAGTTTCTTGTGTCCGATCCGTGCCCTTTGATGTTCTCTGCAGGAACCAATGCAGCCAGCCACTGATCTTTATCACCTGTTAATCGAGTTGCCACCACCACATCACAGCAGGACACAAATCAAGGAGTCTCCCAGCCTGTCTTTGCCTAGGGAACAATTTGCATTTAGGAAATCATTGTACCCAACAGTTGTGCTGAGTAATTGTCTAAATTAATAAACATTGATGTCTGGTTTAGCATGAAATTAGTCAGTTATGGTCTGTCAAAATTATCACAAACGAAATAAAATACATACAAATTCTTTAAAACTAGCTTGTCTCAAGTTAACACACACACATGTCACAGAGGCTTCAAAGAGGTTATTCACAAAAGGACCACAGAGTCTTCTAGTCTAGCCTTGATTTAGCTGCTCAGGCACCATTTAAATGTAAATAACGGCTTTGGAGACAACTTTCCAGAAGCAGCGCGTCTCCAGCTTCTTCACAGGAGTGTTACAACACAATTGTAGGGTAATCAAAGGGTTAAAACACCACTTTATCAGTTACAACACCCCCTCCTGTGGAGGTAGGCTTCTCACACATTTACAGGATCTAAGTTAATCAAAAGGAAGTCACTCAGATTTATTAAACCTTATAACCCAAACAGAAAAGAAATGATGGTAATAGCTCAAATGTTGAAATAGTTACTAAACAGCCTTACTGTTGAGTAAAATAAAATACTACGATTAGCATTTATGGTCTGCAGGGGCTGAGTTGATGTTTACATTTCAAACAAGATTTGCATAGGAATAGCATACAGGAAAAATCTAGCACTGTGTTGATTCAATCATGTTATTAAATTAACACCAGTTACTTAATCTATCAATGGTCGACAAGACACATTTAACGGGAAGTTTTTAAGGTTCATAAAAGATCTAAACACCCTCCTGTAAAACCAGTCAACTGAGTAAGGTCTGCTTATGGCAGGAACACCAAGTTTAACATGATTTAGTCATATGATAAAATGCTGGCACACAAAAACTGTTACTGCATAGTGTAGAATTCTATTTACCTAAGAACATAACCCACTAAAGTAAAACTGCATAATCTAAACAATAATACAGAACATGGTAACACTAGCTTACATCTATCACACTAGAAAATTTAAACAATAGGTCTCATAAAATCAGAATGTTCAAATTAAACCACGTCTACTTAACTAGTCTAAAAAGAACTTAATACACCAGGCTGAAATATTTAGTTTGGGGCTGTTTCTATATAGTCCAGTAAAGGAACAGCCTACCACTTGTGAAATAGAGACCATCTTGAGTCAAAGTTGTATTTTTAATCTTAGTTCATGAGCAAAAGGTATCTTCGGACCCAGATTAGCTGCTTCACAGCTAATCTGTTTCCGTCTGACAAAACTAGAGCTGTGCTGGAATGGTAAAAGAGTCTGTCATGCTAAAATGGCATAAGCTATTTATAAGGTTATGTGCCTCTAAACACTAAAACCTACGTGATTTGTTTATTCTAACAAACTACATGATCTTTTAGAAAGGGTATTTATTTATTTTAATAAAAATAATAAAAGGCCTGTAGACCAGAATATCTAATTTAATTTGAGGCACTCGCGTGAATCTTCCCCATCCTATTTGGCCATCCATTTCAGCCGGTGAAGCTGAAGGAGTTAGAGGATGGATGTATTTATCCCTGCTTAACTGTATTTGCTTAACATTCTATCTACGTAAGTCATTTTGTTTACTAGTTTAGTAAGAGTTATCATGCAGATAAGAGCAATGACTTTTTCAGATAGTATTTAGCTAATCATCACACCTCCTTTCTGTCTGTCACTCACTCACTCACGAACTTTTTGCTCATTTCTAATTAGAATTTTGACCATAAAGAGTTTAGAAATTAAATGTAAAATAAAGATTTCAGAACCAAATATTTCTTTCCCGACGTTCGAATGCCCTCTCACTTCCTCAAACATTTCTTTAAACTTTCTATTTGCCTTCTCTGTTTCTTCAACCATTTCTTTAATTCTGTCTTTTCTCCGTCTGTCTGCTTTTCCTCAACCTTCTCTGCTGACCTCTCATTTCTTCCTAACCAAACCATCAAACATTTCTTATCTGATTTGCTAGTGGCCTGCAGCCTTACCAAACCATCCCCCATAACACTTCCCTGTCTCTCATACACCCCCTCAAACCTTCACCCCTCCTTTTCCTTTCTTCTCCAGCATCACTCAGGAAACACACACACACACAACTGAGCTTTCTGACCCACACTTACATGTCACAGGATGTTAGTGTTATTCATACATGTACAGAATAAAGAACAAGACAACACAGAACAAAACAGAAACATAGAACATAGACTATCTAGAATCTGCAGGTTTCACACAGAACAAACTAGCCTCAAAGTTTCAGTCATACACATTATCATGCATTTGGACCGTCCACTCACTCAGAGATCTCGGCCGAGACACATTCAAGCTTCAGAACCTTGGCCCGAAACTTCTCTCTCACACACACACAACAGAAACGAACCTGCTTTCACTCACACATTCAGAACTTTGACACACACAACCCCCCCATATCAGACCAGATCCGGTTAGGCCCAAAAACCTTTACTAACACACAGACAGAGCAAAACTCTGTCAGAAATAAACATGCCAGTCCCCAGCGACAACTTTAAACAATTCTCAACACGTCCACCCACAAAATGGAACGTAGCCCATGACACCAGAAAAATCACAACACAAATAACACAGACTGGGAATTTTAGACCGATTTAAGATCTTTTAAGCCAATATAGAGTTCAATAAATTTTGTGTACCATGTTGCACCATAAAATATTTAAACAATTGCCTGCGGCAGTGTGATTTCAGCATCAAACTACTCCAATCGACACCAGCACTTATATGCTGCGTGTATTAACCATCCGCAGCTGCGTTAATGCAGCGCTGGTTTAGCAACAGTTTTAGGTGCATCTGAACATTTACCTGTACTCACAACCCACAGCTCTGTGGGACGTCTAGTGCAAACACAAACACAGACTAAATTACAACCTCCTCTTTTCAGGCCCGGTCTACAGCCACGGTTCACGTATTCAGTGCAACCCCTTTGGTTCACGTGCAACCCCTTGCTGGACACGAAAACGTCTTTTCGTGCGTAAATGTCAGTCACCACCATCAATCTTTAATCACACTGCCAACGGTTAAGAACAAAAGGTGCAAATTAATGAAAGTACTCACTCGGCGTGCTATTCAGCTGGCCAGACTGCGAAGCGATTTTCCACCGGAACTCTGCTCTCCGGAGCTCACCAGAGCTGATCCATCGTCTCCCTAACTTAATGAATTAACTTACTGTCCTCCGCGTGGTAAATTCGTCCTGGGGTCCGAGCGCGAGAGCCTGTTGATAAAAGTTCGTCTGCAGAGCTATATTTAGCCGGCCGATGGGACAATTTTAGCCCCCCGGACTTTCAAGGAAGAAATGGCGCCGCACGGCTCCCTGGAAGGGAGGGAAGACATTTTACCCTGAGTCTCCAAAATCAAGGAGAGTTCATGCAGGAATGGCCTTCTCCAAGGCTTCTTCCCACATCACTCCCGTGTGCTCCCAGTTCGTCAGGGGCTTTATTCACAATGGATGGGGGAGGAGGCGGGCCTTCTCAGGTTACAGAGGTACAATTTTCAGTTGGAAACCCACAATCAACATCCTTGCTCAACCTTTCATGAACAACAACAGTTGGCAAAAACAGAGATTCATGATGTGTTTATAATACAACCTGGGCATCTTTTAGGCCTCAAAAAGGTACAATTATAAAAATACCCAACAGCCATCTATTCCCCCAAAGATAATAAAATTGTACCTGTTAAAACACAGACAATTACAAATGCAACTCCCAAAACAAAAAATAACATCTCCAATTACACACAGACATTACCTGATGAGCTTGTGATTGGGTCAATGTGCACCATATACTTTGGGCAAGGAACTGTCTACGTTCTTCTCACTACACATCCCAGACGTGTCATTCGAGCAAGTACACCCGCACTGTCCACACGATGCATGGATGCATACAGTCGGTCCCACTGCACTCTATGTCCCTGGGCAAGCAGAGTACCTCGGACTACCCTGTACCCAGCATCTGGCATGTTGCTCTTAATTCCTGAGATAAATGAATCTAGTTCCTCGTCACTGCATTTACTGTATGTGGCAGATACAGATATATTGTTTTCAGACATCCGTCTGAATAGAGTTGCTCTGAATACACCAAGGAATTTGGTAATGACACTTGTTGGCAGACTCATTTCCACAAGGTGTTCGAGAGCCTCTCGCGACACCACCAATCGTGGGCGGCCACGAGAACCTCTTTCAACGTGTACTGTTATTTAGGGCTGCAACTAACGATTATTTTCATAATCGATTAATCTGTCGATTATTTTTTCGATTAATCGATTAATCGGTTTGTTATTGTTTAGCTATTTAACCTATACATGCATTTCAGTTAAGAAAAAAAAACATAAGAGAATTGTGCAGTTGACTGCAATCTATTTTATTGCACATGAACACAGTCAGCAGTATAAAATGAGCTAAACAGTGCAAAATATCAGTCCAGAATAATTTTTTAGCATTAGCTGGAAGCCTGCTTCTTCCACCATGGATAGTGGCCTCATGTCTTTTACCAGCATGTTTAGAATAGAGTTTGTAAGTGGTATGAATTGCTGGGGGGTGAGTGTCTTGTTCCCCATGTAGTTGTCCATCGTTGCTTGTTTTTTTTCTGCATAAGAAACACAAATAGACTGAAATAAGTACACATATAAAATAAAGCAGCACACACACTACAACACTAAATCAATATTATATTATTTGAATTAATTAACAATATACAGTGATCATTTATTTTGAGGGTTACGTTCTACAAAATAGCCCGCAACAGGAGATATTCAGAAAAAAAGTCTAATTTTTTTACTATTAAAAAGCTCTAAGTAAGAAGCTCATGAGGTTTTTACTTTGAGTCGGGAGTGTTTAAATTAGCTAGAGAAATGTGAAAAATGTTTATTTTGTGTAATACTGTTTAAGAAACATGATAAAAATGTGTTGTGAGGCGTTTTACAGCGTTAGACAGTAAAACAGCCTTTTAATAGTAAAAAAATGACTTTTTCTGAATTTCTCCTGTATTTAAAAATTGAAAGCGTACAACTATGCCGCGTTATATTCACCTGGACACAGCTCGTCTGTATATTTTTCACCGCAGAGTTGTCCTTTTTTGAATGAGGAACATAGTTATGGGTTTGTGCCGTTTTTCTCTTAACGAGAACATTCTTATAAACAGACGTGCTGAATTTGGCAAGCGCATGATACACAACACGGAGGAGATTCATGATTACATCTAGTCAATCAGAAGTAGAACACCGTAGACTGACGCGGCAAAAAAACATGTTTAACATCCACTATAACGATCTCAGCTAAAACACTAAGTCCAGCTTGTTTATTTTCTGTTACTTACCGGGCTGGCTCTTCCAAATGACGGCTCACTTGACCGCGGTGCTCTTCCTCTGCTGCATCAGCCCCCACGTTTTCGTCTCAAATGTTCACTTAGGGACGTCGTGCTTCCGTGCCATGCTAGATGGTTTTTGCATATTTTGCCTTTTAAAGGCATCTAGAGTGAAGTGCTCCCATACTCGTGAGGTTTTTGTCCGGGGTTTCTCTAAAGTTTTGTCGCTTCTATTTTTCTTCCGTATTTCCTCTTGTTCCGCCATCTCTCACAGCAAGATGAGCGTCAGTAACGTGATACGTCATGAAAACCGAGGGCACTCATTGGCTCATTTCTTCTTCTACGGCTCCACTGGTAGATCAGTGGCTCATTACTGCCACACACTGGCGGCAAATTTAACAGCTTGTAACCGATGTCAGATTGTGGTAAAAATAGACTTTATGCGGTAAAATATGATTATTAAACAACTAATCGATGACTAAAAAAGTTGTTAACTATTTTAATAATCGATTATAATCGATTAAATCGATTAGTTGTTTCAGCTCTACTGTTATTAATGTCTTTTGATTATCTCTTTCCTGCTGGATAATAGTATTCAGATCTGAAAGAGCAGAAAGTATATCCTCTCCTACATCAACAATGTCACCTAGAGCACCTAATAAAATGAAATAATGGTAACAAGCAAACTGTAGCCCTTCCCCATCAACAGGTTGCCTCTCCAAGATGCTTGACAGTCGATTGTACGACCTCTGAAGGATGTCATGCCTCAATGATTCCTAGAGGAAAAAAACAGAACAAACATGGATTGGATAACTGTTGGGTAATAGAAATAAAATAACAACTTCCAAATATCTTATGGCACTTTTATTTTTTAAACACTCCAGCTATGATAGTTTTAATAAAAAAAAACATTTTTAAATAAGACCAACTGTAGATTCAAAGGTACATGAAATGATGAAGCAGTATTTCTGTTTATTATGTGCCAGAGCTCATTGGCCAAAATTTAAAGACGTATTTTATTTTAAAAAAATAATATTTCTTTAACTATTGCCCACCGCCAGAAAATCAAATATTTATGCACCGGCTCAGCCAGTGTCTGTCTCCTTATTACTGCACGCACAGCCTAAAGCAGGGGTGTCAAACTCAAATTCACAATGGGACAAAATTAAAAACTGGGACAAAATTGCGGGCCAAACTCAATATTTGTTGAAAAGTTTATTTACAGATGTCTTGTTATTCAATTGGAAAGAAACTTATTTTTGCATCTGAACACAGAATCTGATATGACCAAATTACACACGAGCAAGTGCATTTTAAATAAAACACATCACTCGTTACTTATGTCTCAATTTTTATTTACTCTTTTTACTCCTTACAATGTGTATATATTCAGTATTTAGATTGTTTTACCTTTTGGATATATTAAGTTTGTCTGTTTTATGTTTTCTTTTAGTTTACTCTTTATTATTATGTTTTACTCTCCTGTTTGGCTACATAATTGCTGCTGTGACACCACAGTTTCCCCACTGAGGGACAATAAAGGGATTTTCTATTCTTCAATCTGTAGTCTGTCCAGTTCCCATTTTAGAGTAAGTTTAATCTTTTTTTACAGGCCAACAAAAAAACCAAAAATAGCAATTATCTTCTATGAAAATATCTCAGTTATTAACTTTCATGCTTTGGAGCAGAAAAAGTGCATGACAATAAAATATTTCAAGCTCAGTTCGCTCCACTCTGATGGTCACCTGTTCCAGCCAGACACCTTCTTTCTAGGCGTTCAAAGTCGGAAACTCGCTGAGTAAACTGGGTGCTTAGAGGAGTATCTTCAGTTGTTTAAGACTGAGGGTAACGCTGCACACGCTGATTCTACTAGCATGGATGCTAATGATCGTAAACTAAAGAGGGCTTGCTTCGTCTCGCGCGCTAACGCCGCAAAGCACTATGGGATTAGTAGTCTTATCAGCAAAATCGCCCGGCGGGCCAGTTTTAATATTATATATTTGATATTTGATTTCGGGGGGCAAATAAAAATAGACCAAGGGCTTGAGTTTGACAACCGTGGCCTTAAAAAATGGTACCTAGACACGCTAACTAAACAAATGTTCGCTTGAGTTTAGCTTGATGTTAAACTAGATGAAGAATGGACCAGACTTCACGTAACGTCTGGACTGAATTGAACATAAAACATTTTACTTGACTATGAAGAACGCTTCTACTCATAATTCTATAACATTGCATAAATTACAACGAGGGAATAAGATAAAACTGTTACTCACAGATTGTGACCGGTCCATCCCGCTCTGCCGTGTGAACTGCAATGCGCATGCGCACAGCAGATCTGTTCCGTAACATAAGGAGCCATATGATTGGCTGAAAGCGAACAGCCCTGGCAGAATCATATATTTGATTGACAGATTCATTAGCCAATGGTGACGTTTGTTGATCTGCGACGTTAGGAGAGTCTCAAAATTCAGCACACCGATTTCTCTCACAAATGCAGGAAGGTTCACAAATGAGAAGCTGTTCGTAAACGCACATTCAGCAATTCGTATGATCTGTGAGTTTATATTACAAGTGTTCTTACAAATTGTATTTGTGAACCACAGAGTGTGAACTTCAGAATTAGCGTGTGCATTTGTGGAAAATGTTGCGTGACTTATTTTTTCACATTATATTTATGAGTCAAAGTGTGAATTTCCGAATGAGCGTGTGCATTTGTGTTCCTCCGAATTATATTTGTGAAACACAGAGTGTGGATTTCCGAATGAACATGTGCATTTGCGGAAAACGTTGTGTGACTTAATTCTTATTGAGACTGTTCTGGTCTCATACTGATGCGGCCATATTCAGGTTAGTTTGTGGACAGTGGCGGCTGGTGAAAAATATTTTTGGTGGGGCTGTGCTATTTTTTTTTAAACAAACTTGTGCTTTCTGAGCTTTGTGCACAACTTCACTATTTCCTGAATTAAGCACAGCTCTTTTATTTCCTGTCTTACATCATTAGACAAACTGATTAATCCAGGTGTGTCTGACTATTGGCAAACTGCCTTGCGGACCAAGGTTGAAAAATACTACATTAAATTGCACATAAAATAACATGACCATAAATGGTAAATAGGCAATGCAAGAGGCAAGTAACAAAAACATTTTGTTTAATTTCAACATTTGAGTGAACACGAAAAATTATGAGCAGGTCACTGTTACAGTAATGGTAGTAAACACTACTTAGACAAAATGCCAGAAATTTACACTATTAGGACTTATGGAAAGTGGAAACACTTTCATAGGAAATAGTATCCTCTTACAAATGTCATATTTCCCACTTCCCAAGCTGGGAAATTTGTTTGCTGCAGAAGTGTAACAAGTAAAATGGAATCAGATTGATGTATGTACAAATTTACATGAAATACACATTTACATGATTAAATATGTATAATAGGTATGTGTGTTGAAATTAGTTTTTACAGTTATTGCACATTAAACAATGTACATGTTATTAAACAAATGTCCCGGTTTGTGGGACAACCAAGGATTTCTGATTCTGATTGTCTTGTTTACAGAAATGTAATGTACAGCTTACCTCTGCACCCAGCTGCTGTTCTCCCTGTCCAAACGTCCTCCGTTTCTTTATTGGCTGCTGCACTGATGCGCTGCATTCCTCAGTCAGAGAATGAATGGAGTCCCCAATGAGACACAAGTTCCACATCCACCTTCTGTGGATCCCAGCCGTTTTGAATAACAAACACAGAAAGCAAAATAACGCATTAGCGTGATTGCATCCAGCTAGCCACTGCTTCCTGGTGTACCAATTTTGGGAGAAGCGTCATGTGTACAGTTTACCCTTCTCCTTCTCCTGCTGGCTTATCTTTACGTCGGGCTGATCTGGTCCAAGCTCTTTGACATTAAGTTTTTCCACCATAGTTCTCCTCTCGAACGGATACTGGAGGAGACCGAACTGAATTCACTGGCTGCTGAGATCCAGTATCCATGTTGTAGGCGCACTGTCTACGTCTGCGTCACGACCGTCAAAACGTGCTGGAGTCGAGACTCTCCGAGTTCTACCGAACATCAACGAAAGCCTTGGCGGTAGCTCTATCGCCCATCATGCTTCTGAAACGTTCTGAAACAACGTCGACGCTGATTGGATACATTCCCATTCCTACCCTTTGATTTTCTTGTCAGCAATTGGACAACTGGTCCCGTCCTGTTTGGGCTATTGAAAACCAGCACACAGCCTCCACCGCTCGGCAGAGACCGGCAGAGATTGGCAGAGACCAATATAGATATAAATACATATATGATTTATTTTTGTTACAAAACACACAATTAACTTAGAATATGTAATTATTGTTAATTTTATTTATTTATTTTTTTTAAATAAAAATTAAAAACACAGGGGAAACTGGGAGGGCGGCGCCCTATCGCCCTCTACTGGCCAGCCGCCACTGTTTGTGGAGTAAAAAGGTAGAGAATTTGAATCAACTGAGTTCGACTCAACCACTCATCCCTAAACTAAGACAATACAATCCTAATTATATTTTCTTATGTTTATAATAGGGACCAACCTCACAGCAGAGCAGCACATCTACAACTATTGACACTGCAGAGCAAGGCGGGTAATAGAAAATGCCTTTGGCATTTTGGCTGCACGATGGAGAGTGTTTGGGACAGCCATGGAGTGTTCTGTTGACACTGCTGAATTAATAACAAAGGGATGTGTTGCTCTTCACAACTTCCTCTGTGGTACTGACCAACTCCAAGCTGAGACAGCAAGGTACATCAGTAGAGTGGACGAAGGAGATGTCTTGGGAGAATGGAGGCAAGTTGTGGAGACCGACACAAACCTCTTGGACACCGGACGCTTGACTTCTGAGCATGCTACACGACATGGCACTAAGGTGCGGAACAGCTTGATGAACTATTTTCAAACCGAAGCAGGAAGAGTCTTTTCAGGACAACATCCTCCAACGGGGCACACTGCATTTGTGTATATCTATTTGCTTGTGGTGTCAGTTTAAATGTTTTTTGCACGTGATTTGTTTCAGCACAACACAAGGAAATCCAATGAATTTTTTTTATTTATCTGCAAAATAAAACTGATTCAGTTCAAGTTTGTCATTGGAACAGTTATTTTTTTTATAAATGGTCATATTAAATTTGTATAAAATGTAACATTTCATTTTAACAAGACAACAAATGTTCAAGTAATTTTTGTAGTGATGTCATTCATAAAACATTTTAAGCCTTCAACCTGAAGAACATTCAGAAGAAATGTGGAAAATCTGCAGACATGCTGCAGCACATGAGAACATTCTGCTGAATTACATCATTGGGCAGTTTCTGATTTTTAAGGAGTTTTTTGCCTCATGAGGTGCTATCAAACTGGTTTCATATTCACCTCAGAACCTATGAGGCAGAAAACTAAACTGCTGTAGTAAATGACTGCTCTCGTGTACTGCAGGCTTAACAAACAACACAACAACAAACAGCACAAGAAAACTGCATGGGAGGAACATTAAATAAAAAATAACATTTTCTACTCATAACATTGCATGAGCTGCTTAACTTCCTACATGAGTCTTTGTGCATTATGCGGATCCAGCTGCTGAAGGAACATACCCATGTAGCTTCCAAAGGTTGTGTAGATGTTGTGACCTGCACGGGCTTTCTCTCTAACCTCTGCCAGCCTCTGGAGGAGGGCAGCATCCAGAGGATCCAGCTCTTGGGGTTTTTTCTTCCTTCTTGGAGTGGTGGGTGTTCTGGAAGATGTACTGGGTCCTGAAGTGGTCTGAGATGAGGTAGATGGGTCAGGTGAAGGATCTGGTTCAGGTGTACTTCCAGGTGAAGGAGTCGTGGTCTCTTCATTACACACTACAGCCACAGTGCCACAAACAAGACATTTGTCAACTACACAGATGTGACATGATGAGAATTGTGTTATGAAATGCTAGTTTATTTTAAGTTCATGTAAACTAGAATGTTAGCTCCTCGTCTGTTTAAAAAAAACAGCCCAGAGTAGATTCGGATGTTTACTTACGGGCCTGCTTTGTGGGAAGTTGGTCTCGGTTGAACGGTGGTTTATAAAACTGCTGAGCCAACCCAGGCGTCTGACGATAGCTGGACAAAACACGCCGTCTGCACCGTCCCCACTCCGTTTCTCCATCATCTTCCTTTGAGCCCTGACGTAGCGATCTCGGACTTGTTTCCATTTTATTTTGCACGTCTCTGCGTCGCTTTGTAGGTTGTCACTGATTTCTCTCCAGCTGTTCTGACAAGCATACTTGTCGCTGTGCAGTGGTAACGACACATCATAAAGATGTGGATAGTTCCGAACCTGGTCGATTAGCTTTTCTTCAAAGCTTTCTGACATTTTAAAACTACTGAGGTTTGTCGCCGTTGACCCCTGTACTACATCCGGTTATATAATGCTCTACACTCCGCCTAGTGGTTAGCCGTATATTGCAGCAGGTGGACGCGTCGCGTTAATTTCAGAAGACGTGCACAAACGACGCATCAAACGAATGCAAACAACGCAAGGTAGCCATGATACGTATGCATTGTTAAAAGCAAGCATATTTCCACCTTTACGCCCTCTTCAGCTCAATATTCTGCACAAATTCACAACAGCAGTTTGAAATCTGTCCTGACCAATGGGTGAAACCTCCCATGCAATGTAACCAGAGCTATAGAAAGAGACACGCTTTGAATTCACCGACTCGCGGTCACTTGGTTCATGGAGCTCTCAATAGTTCCAAACATC